ATTCAATATTTATGTAGATGGCATTGCCAACATAGGAAAATCAACACAGCTTACTATTTATGCCAACTGTACCAGTTTACTGTTCTGTGCGCCTCAGAACTCGTAGATAATATGAATGATACACTAGGAAAAGAACTAGACAAATGGAGCAAGTCAACTGTTTAAAAAATAAATTGGAATAAAACCGAGGCCATTCTATATTGGTTGAAGAATAAAAATGCTGGTGTGAGCAAGGATATTTATATTTTTTATATTCTACTAAAATAAATTATTCCCAGAATTTACAACTTTTGGCGTATTTTGTTCGGAGAACATGGTATGGAATGATCAGATGAATTGCAATATTTTCAAACTGTCCAGCATCGTTGGCAGGTTATATGGCCGCAATCATGTTTCGCCTCTTAGAACAAAGTTTTTAGCATATAATTTATTGTTTCATTAAATTATAAAAAAATATTGCCATCTAGTGTAGGCTACAACTACTGGTAGCATTTTCAAAAATATTCCTGTTGCAAAAAAGAAATACTGATAAACATTTGAAATGTTGGAGACGCACATCCAATAGCAGAGGTCGGCATTTTAGGTCGCCCTCACTGACCCTCACCCTCACAGTTACACTCACCTAAACCCCTCACTTACCCGCACCGCTGCACTCACCTTCAGCCACTCACTCACCCTCATCCTCACAGTCACACTCAACTTCAGCCCTTCACTCACCCTCACTGAACCTCACGCCCCTCACTCACTCGTGGCCCTCACGCCCCTCAAGCACTCACCGCCTTCACGGCCATCACGCACTGATGGCCCTCAGGCTCCTCACGCACTCATGGCCCTAGCTCACACTCCTCACGCACTCACCGCCATTACGGCCCTCTCATCCCTCACACACTCATGCCACTCATATACTCACCGCCTTCACGCCCCTCACACACTCATGGCCCTCACACCCCTCACGCACTCACCGCCCTCATACCCCTCACGCACTCATGGCCCTCACGTCCCTCACGCACTCATGGCCATCACGTCCCTCACGCACTCATGGCCCTCACGTCCCTCACGCACTCATGGCCCTCACACCCCTCACGTCCCTCACGCACTCTTCGCTCTCAAGGCCCTCACACACTCACCGCCCTCACGGCCCTCACGCACTCACGGTCCTCACAGCCCTCAGAGCCCTCACGGCCCTCACTCACCCTCACACTCATGAATTTTCCTGGTTCAGAAACTCACTCACCCTCCCTCACCTGTAAAGATGAGAGTGAGTGAGGGTCCTCATGAGTGATGTTTGCCGAGGTATGTACCAACAGAGGTCCTTTACAACCCAATTGGTGTATTAGTTTTTTTCAAAAAGTATAAATATTTCCCATGTCCAAAATATAAGAGTGCAAAAACATGCAAACGCATTATCTTGAAAACTTTGCTAATCTGACGATAAAAGTACAATCATATCCAACATACGTCTTACAAAACCCAGGACAGTAGCATTTTTCAGAACAAATTTCAGTCATCAAACTAAGTCGTACGCCTTTTCGTCCATTTCTAATCAACTTAGTGCACAGCATGTAGAACTGGACGCACTGTCGGTATACAGCTTACGGTAAATGATTCTTTTTACCTGAATCGGGTGAACTTGAACGGTTGCTGTTCGTCTCTTTGCTTTCTCGCTCATTTACCTCCTAATTCACATAGTTAATGGATGTATTCCATTGATGGTTTTCTGTATAGTGCCGCGCGCAGGGTCACGGACTTTTAGAACTTTCTCGTTTATTCTTGCTCCGGACATAACTTCTGTCGTTTATGCCTGCTTATGTTGTTCTAGAAAGTGCGTGTTCATTCTCGCCGCGAGCGGGCTACGCTCGAACCTTCTCCGCCGAATCTTCGAGATAGTGACTCACTCTAGATAAGACGCCGCTCGCGACCTTGTCGAGTGAGTCTCGCCTCTGCGCTCGATCCTGCGGTTTCGCCGATATCGACGCCCGCGACGCTCTGCTGTTTTCTTTTGTACCCTTTTATTTTTGGCACAAGTTTGCCACATTAAGCGTTTGTCACGGAAGCAACGAACATGGAGCGCGCCCTCCAAGCACGCGGCTCCTACTACCAACGACATCCCGGCGTCGTTGCCTCCACCGATGTCGGCGAAACCGCAGGATCGAGCGCAGAGGCGAGACTGACTCGACAAAGGTCGCGGGCGGCCTCTTATCTAGAATGAGTCACTATCTAGAAGATTCGGCGGGGAACGTTCGAGCGTAGCGCGCTTGGGGCGAGAATGAACACGCACTTTCTAGAACAACAAAAACGATAGAAGTTATGTTCGCAGCAAGAACAAACGAGAACCCTCTGCAAGTCTGCGCGCGGCATTATCCCCCCCTTTAAAAGCGCATCGTCCCGATGCAGCACAAACCGAAAACAAAGCAAACAGAAATAACGGTAAACTAAAGAGTCATTTGGAACACTTAAGGTCCACAGTCCTATCGAGCGTAGTACGGCTTCATGCGCACGACGTGGACGACTTCTGGTCTTGGAGGGCGGCGTGATGAAGTCCGTGTTCCATCGGGCATCACCTCGTAGTTCAGATCCCGAGTCGACGAAGCACTTTGTAGGGTCCAGAGTAGCGCTTCAGACTCGGCGAGGAGGTCTCCGACGAGCCCTCGCCATGTCAGCCAGTGCCGCAACAGCTTGACGTTAACCCCAAGCTCAGCGCCACGGAACGAGGACAGCTCGGAGACCTCCTCGCCGAGTTCGGCGACTGCTTTGCGACGACGTCGAGGGTGCGCCAGACAACAGTTGCGAAACACCGCATCATTACCAACGAGGACGCGCTCCCTGTGCATCGGCCGCCGTACCGGGTCTCCCCAAAGGAACGAGAGGCCATTCATGAACAAGTACAGGAGATGCTCAACGACGACATCATTCAGCCTTCGAGCAGCCCGTGGGCCTCTCCAGTTGTGCTGGTAAAGAAGAAAGACGGAACGCTTCGATTCTGCGTTGACTACCGGCGGCTCAACGCGGTCACGAAGAAAGACGTGTATCCGCTCCCCCGCATCGACGACACGCTGGACCGGCTGCGCCACTCCCGATACTTTTCGTCGATGGACCTTAAGAGTGGCTACTGGCAGATCGAAGTCGACGAACGAGACCGAGAAAAGACTGCCTTCGTCACGCCCGACGGACTGTTTGAGTTCAAGGTGATGCCCTTCGGACTGTGCACGGCGCCGGCAACGTTCCAACGTGTCATGGACACCGTCCTGGCAGGCCTCAAGTGGCAGAGCTGTCTCGTTTACCTCGATGACGTCGTGGTATTCTCGGCCAACTTCGACGAGCATTTACGACGCCTTCGGGCCGTTTTAGAGGCAATCAGGACCGCAGGACTCACCCTCAAGCCGACGAAGTGCCGGTTTGCCTACGGAGAACTGAAGTTCCTGGGCCACGTGGTGAGCAACGAAGGTGTAAGTCCTGACCCTGAGAAGACTCGCGCCGTAGCGGCCTTTCCACCACCCACCGACAAAACTGCCGTCCGAAGATTCCTTGGACTTTGCGCATACTACCGGCGATTCGTTCAGGATTTCGCCAAGCTTTCTGCGCCGCTAACGCACCTTACGAAAGACGCCGTGAACTTCGACTGGGGTGAAGAACAACAACAGGCTAATGCCGCGCGCAGACTTGCAGAGGGTTCTCGTTTGTTCTTGCTGCGAACATAACTTCTATCGTTTTTGTTGTTCTAGAAAGTGCGTGTTCATTCTCGCCCTCCAAGCACGCGGCTCCTACTACCAACGACATCCCGGCGTCGTTGCCTCCACCGATGTCGGCGAAACCGCAGGATCGAGCGCAGAGGCGAGACTCACTCGACAAGGTCGCGAGCGGCGTCTTATCTAGAGTGAGTCACTATCTCGAAGATTCGGCGGAGAAGGTTCGAGCGTAGCCCGCTCGCGGCGAGAATGAACACGCACTTTCTAGAACAACATAAGCAGGCATAAACGACAGAAGTTATGTCCGGAGCAAGAATAAACGAGAAAGTTCTAAAAGTCCGTGACCCTGCGCGCGGCAATAGTGCCTTATTTTCAAACTTTGTCTCAAGATTTTGTGAATGCTTTTTGTATAGAATGCATTCGTATATATGACGTAAATTTATTTTTGGTTATGCGTTGATATTCATCTTTTATTTATGATGCTTTTCTGCCGCTGTATTTTGTGAGCTTGGGAGTCGGGACTAGTCAAGCTGTTTTTAAGATTTTTCCCCAACGTCTGCACCAACATTGTATTTTTTTTAACCCAAAGGCCGAGCGTGATTATAGTAGGCCACGCCGGGTGTTTCTTAAGTCGTCAGCGACTATAGCAATACAAAGTGCCCCACCCCCCAAGAAAAAAACAAAAACAAACAAAAACAACAGCAGGAAAAATGAACAAACAAACAAAAAAAAATGTACCTTTTTTTTTTTGTACCGCAAAAATGTACTACGTATCACCGAACGCTCATCCTCCACCCAAATGTAGCCCTAACTGTCCGAACCAGGTGCCAAAGTTTAGGAACTAGCCGTTATGCTATTCAATAGTTATTAGTGAACTTTTGAAACTTTTAATGGCAAAATGGGGCCGGTTTTCGCCCGTTTTTCGGTAACTGTTGCCATTAAGATGCATATATTATAAGAAGTGCCCAACGGCCGCCATTTTCCCATTGGAAATTGCAGAAAATCGGTTATAGCTTTTGAATAAGATAACGGTTAGTTCCTAAACTTTGGCATCTGTTTCGAACCGGTAGGGCAATATTAGTGCGGAGAGTGAGCGTTCGGTAATACGTAATTTATTTATGCAAAAAAATGTACAAAGTATTTATTTATGCAAAAAAATGTGCAAAGTATTTATTTATGCAAAACAAAGTACAGTGTCCCCCCCTCCCTCCCCCCCAAAAAAAAAAATTTGGAGGGGGTGGGGGGGGGGGGGGTTGAGAGGGGGGACACTTTGTACATTTACGAGCTTCTCAGGGCATGCCGTCGTTCAATTGGTCAGTCCTTCGAACCGCAGCTCTTGTCGTAGATCCAGTATTTGGTGGGACCACAATGCATGTCGTATATGTAATGGCAGTGTTGCGGGATGTTGTCAACGTTGCTTTCGGGAACGACCAGACTACAAGCGGGCCCTGCGAGTCGAGATTAGCATGTGCATCATAAATGGTCTCTCTCAAAACGACCATTTCACACGCTGATATTCGCAAATGTACACTGCACAGGCTCTCTAAAAAAAACAACAAAAAAACAACACCAACAACAACAACAAAACAACAACAACCAAGAACACCTGAAGTTATTATTCTCCCGCAAAGCACTTTAGAGAGAAAATCGCAAGGACGGACTTCGTAGCAAGAAAAGGGTGGAAGGGGGGGGGGGGGGGGGGGTGGGGGGGTGTCGAGTTAACGGTGTGTTTGTCCTACCTTCTTCCACGTAGTTGCTCCAAAAGACAGAGCAAGTGCTGCAATCTGTGTATAACGAATACACTCGGAAGTCGTGATTGCTATAGGTATCTTGACCTGTAAACGAAGAAAAGAAAGAGTTGCATGTCTGCTCTAATATATTACCATAATTAAAAAAAAAAAAGAAGGAGACTTAAAAATAGTTTTAGGTGCAACTTGCTATTCTTTTATCGTCACGCCCGCCATCGGTTGTGGCATAAGATTTCTAATTTCACCTGTTCATATATGCTCTTTTTAGAGCACAGCTCTTAGGCACCCGTTTACGGCTTGAGCGGCGTCGCCGTCGGCGTAACTGCGCGGTGCAGAATGGGTAAATTTCTGCGCTATAATTTAGCGGAAAACTTTTCCAGCTAAATGTAGCAAAAAAATTTTCCTGCTAAGTCTAGCGGAAAATCTTTCCCGCTAAATCTAGCGAAAAAGTTTTCCCGCTAAATTTAGCGAAAATTTTCCCCGCTAAATCTAGCGGAAAATTTTCCCCGTTAAATTTAGCAGAAAAATTTCCCTGCTAAATCTAGCGGAAAATGTTTCCCGCTAAATTTAGCGGCAAAGTTTCCCCGCTAAATTGAGCGGGAAATTTTCTCCGCTAAATGTAGCGGAAAAGTTCCCTGCTAAATTTAGCGAAAAAATTTCCCCGCTCAATTGAGCGGAAAGGTTCCCGGCTAGATTTAGCGGAAAATTTTTCCCGCTAAATTTAGCGAGAAAAAAATTTCCCGCTAGATTTAGCGGGGAAAATTTTCCGCTAAATCTAGCGGAACATTTTACCCACTAAATCTAGCAGAAAAGTTTCCCTGCTAAATCTAGCTGAAAATTTTCCCCGCCAAAATTAGCGGAAAATTTTCCCCGCTAAATTTAGCGAAAAAAAATTCCCCACTAAATTTAGCGGAGAAAATTCCCTGCTAAATATAGCGAAAAAATTTCCCGCTAGATTTAGCAGAAAATTTTCCGCGCTAAATATAGCGTAAAAATTTCCCCACAAACTTTATTGGGAAAAAATTCCCCGCTAGATCTAGAAGAAAATTTCTCTGCCAAATTTAGCGGAAAAGTTTCCCCTAAATGGGACGCGAGCAGGAGAGGAGGAAAGGCATAGCCCCCTCTCCGTACCTTCCCCTCCTCCTCCTCAAGAGCTGCGCTCTAATTCGGCGTTACAGGGAGTTGTAAGCGGCTTTCATCTTTTTTAACTTACGATGGAACAGAGACGTCGCCAAAGTCATAAAAGTCAATCGAATGCCGCGTGAGCGTCGCGTGACCTTTGAGGGGGGCGCGGTGACGCGTTGTCACTTGATACGATAAATTGGCTGAGAACCATAGCTCCGTCCGCTACAATCTATCGTACATAGAAACAGAGTTTAGGGATGTCTAGATAAATCCCATCTTCTCTCGCAACAGTATAGTACAGGAACAAGCCGCAGCTCGCGAAAAAGGTGGCTGTTCAATCGAGAGATTGGGTAAGAGTGCGCATTGAGGTAGCTTGCTCAATAGGAGACGCAAGGACGTGGTGTACAGCAGCGGGGACTCTTCCAGTACGGACGCAGTTATCGAGCGAACTAAACATAATCTAAAGGTTAAATTATTTGCTGCCGCAACCAAAAGCAGGAAGGGGTGGCGTTAGAAAACTGAAGACTATATGAAAGTTTAAACCGGGTTTAAGATTGCGGTAAGGCAGGCGCATCGGATGTATTCATATGTATTCCACCAATAAGTACTCTTTCGACTGTCAGATCACGTGGGCTGTATTTTAAGTCACCCACGCTTATAACCTTCGACTCCGCCGACTCCTGATCTTTTTATTATCGTTGCGCAATCGATTTAAAGTGCAAACGTGATAGGTCCCGCGTTTTTTAAACTGTATGTGACCATAACCAATATTCGCATCTTGATTCTTTGGCCAGTAAAAAATGGGCTAGCGAAAAGTCCTAAAACTTGGGGTACGCCCCAGATGGTGTCTCCCCTCTTCCATGCACCGGTGATTTAAAAAAAATGGCCGCGTTCTCCTATAGACGTGTCTGTCTTGCTCTGGCGAAGACCATATTTTTTTTAACAAGCGGCGTGTTTTGTCTTTGCACATAAGCGTTTGGGAAGCTCGCGAATTCACATTATATAGTAATTTTAGGTCGCCACATGGCAAATCCCGCACCTGGGTTCTCTATGGGCCGACTCAACGCTCCGACGGAACGCCACTGCGGTGGCGCTGCTGTCGGCACTGCGCATGCGCAGAAGCCTCACGCGAATCTTATTTCTGCGCACGCGCATGCAAACGCAGGCTTGCTCTGTAGACAGTGTGTTGGTGCAGAAACGCGCACACTTCCAAGTGAACAAATACAGAGAAAATAGTGTGATTACTCCTCACCGGATGGGAAATTCAGCTGCATGTAATTTCGCACCTTGTATCCTTTCGAAGACTTGAATGTCACACTGGCGTTGCTGGTAAAAACGAATAAGAATTAAAAACAACGTCTCCACAATGCATTTGTTTTAATAATCAAATGTACAGCGTGCCCCCTGCCCACCCCCCCCCCCCCCCCAAAAGGAAAGAAAAAAGAAAAAGAAAAGACAAAAACAACGAGACTATTATATTGCAGCTAAAATAAACTACGCATCGCTGAACTAATAAAGAGTTTTAGAGAACCAGAATAAAACACGGTCGACAGACCAAACAATCGGTACATCGTATCGAGAGTTCCGACAGGTAGCTTTCCATGAAACGGCTTTTAGGGAATCGCGTTACGGCTGAGCCCTTTGGATCGGGCGGTAGCTTACGCCACCTAGCCAGCTTACACCACCTAGCAGACGATTTGTGAAGGTCGCGCCCCCTGGCAACGGAAATGCGCAATGGCTTCGTAAAGTGGGCACAAAAAGGGCATGTTTTTTATTTTTTATTTTTTTTTTTGTGGGGAGAGGGGGGGGGGGGGTGGTAATTGCACGGAACAGAAGGAAAAACACCTCTTTTCAGAAATAGCCTGAAGCAAAATTCGTGGAACTAACCATATTTTGCTTCGTTTTGATTGAATGGGAACGCTAAATATGAGGCGGCGCCTCCCCCCCCCCCCCCCCCCCCCCCCCCCGTGACTGAACAGTTCGTCTACCAAAGGAACAGACAACTATCACGGCAATTGTGACGCTGGAACGCTTTGACGACGAGTTCGAATTTACTTTATTCGGCGAGAAAAACTGAGAGAAAGAGCTTTTATATGACTCAGATAACCCAAAAATTACACCATCTTCTCGAGGGGAACCATGGGGTGATCCGGAGCAACGTTCCATCACACTTCATCGGAAGAACGGAGTGAAGTGGAGTCAACAGCGGGTGAACGCGCAGAATTGGTTTGCTCTTTATGTTTATAGAGCCTTGATGGAGATGCGCCTCAACGGGTAATCGGTCTCTTAGCTGTAGATGAGAAATTTAGCCAGTGCAGTACAACCGCTAACCTGGGGTTTTTAACGTGCATCACTCATGTGCCGGTACGAAACTCATCGAGATCGAAACGGGCGGCGGGGATCGAAGCCAGGAGGTTCCCAGCGAAAGCTTTCGCTCCGTGCTCCATGCTCCGAGCTAGACGCGTTAGCCACTCGACCACTTCCTCCCCTGAACGCAAGCAGCGCGCTACCGCTGCTTATATTCACACTTGAAGGAGAGGAGACTAGAGGAGGAAAGTTGCGCATGCGCGCGCGGTGTGAGTAGAAGCGAAAGCACGCCAAGTGCACGCAGCTGGCGTAGAGAGAGAGAGCGGAGAGAGTAACGCGCAGCTGTTGGAGAGAGGGAAGGAGGAGAGTTGCGCATGCGTAGTGCGAGTGCGGACTACGACGCCGCGGAACATAGACCCGAGCAAGAGATGTTCCGCATCTAAAAGGACGAGATTGTTGACGGCGAGACTAGGGACGTTCGACATCGCATCAATATATGAAGTGGATGCGCTATGCCAACTTCGCTTCCACAAAGACGACGTAGCTCATCTCCGCTCCGCACTGAAAATCCAGTACACCCTAGCCACTAATGGCTGGGTCATCGGACAGGGTTTGAACCCATGTCGTCGGCGCCTTCATCAAAATGGAAGAGCGACGCTCCAACCCACCATCCCCGCCAAGTGAGACAAACGAACAATGTGACTGTAAGAAAGCCACGGTGTCTTGTCCACGTTCCGTTTGTTTTCTGTTTTATTTTTCGTGAATTCTACTTGATTTTCTTACCGCCACCATGACATTTCTTCCAGGCACAACCATGAATGCTTTAATTCCCGTTCGAAGCTTTGGCAAGCCTCTTCCCGCAGCAGAACAGCCGTTCTATGAGCGAGTCGAAACCGTTCTGATGTCTGCCGCTTTGACAACACGATCACAGCTTACGGTTTGGACAATGGACTGCAGTAAGGCAGCAGTGAACTCGCGCATGCGCAGTCCATACCGGAGAGCCGATCTTATCGTATCGTTTGTGCAGAAACGGCGGTCCAGTCCAGGTGGCAAAGTTTCAGGACTAACTGTTGTCTTGTTAGAAAGTTAGGAGTGATTTTGAAACCTTGCATTGCGAAAAGGTGGGGGGCCCGATCTTGTTAGCTGACGCCATTCGTCTCAATGTATCCGTTGGCCTTGTCGGCAGCCAAGGATTCTCCCATTACAAATTTTCGAAAATCGGTTTAATAACGTTTGAATGAGATGAAGGCAAGTTCAGAAATTTGGTACCTTGTTCGAACCACTAGCGCTACATTTGGAAGGCGATTGAGCGTTCGGCAATACGCAAGTTATTTCTGTAAAAACGAAAGAAAAAACAAGAGTACTTGTGAATTTGTTGGGGAGGGAGTACACGCTGTGTAGTCCAAATCTTCTCAAGAATGATTTATGGGAACGCTCATTTTTACTGCAATCACATAGGCCACTGCATCTGTCAGCGTAAAACTTGCCCCGCGATATAATTGAAGCACAACTGAATAAACGGTATTCTTTCAGTCGCTACAGGATGTTCTTGCGAAATCTTTCAAAAATTCCTAAAAATATGCTGTTCGAGATAAAAGGAAACTCTTTGCGGGAACGAACTATCAGCCTCGGAGGACGTCAAGGTCTACAAAAAG